CCTGGATGTCCAGAGAGTCGTTGAAAGAGGTGATGATAATGTAGTGAGTCTCGTTCCAGCGCGGGCTTCCAGTGTCCTTGATATGCTTTGTACGGGCAAGCTGCTGGCGGCGATTCAAGGTCAAGGCAGCATACGGATCGGGTGCACCAGAGAAGTTGTCCGGGTTCTTGAGGCCCTGAGCGCCATGGAGAGTAACAGCAACCACGCCGATAGCCTGGTCAACCGGGGTTCCGGCCAACATCTTGGCGACTTCAATGGGAAACACGTTGGGAGAGTACATCATGGGAGCCAGGTTGCCGTGGATCTGCTCGAGGATGAAAGACTCCAGTCCGGGAATGAAGTTAATGTCAAATCCGAAAGTCTCACCACCCAGAGGCTTGCAGACGTAATCGATCGTGGGCTTTTCCAGGAAGCACATTTCCACCTTTTCAATGTGAGGGAAGGGAATTTGTAGCTTGATCTTGAGTTGCATAATGCCAGAAAAGGACATGTCCTCGACAATCACGTCCAGGCCCTTGCTGATCATGGCCTTTCCGACTCGAATCTCGAGAACAACCTTGGGGTTGATCTTGTTCTTGATTTGTTTGGAGGTCATATCCGCCGTGTCATTAGGGGTGAAGCTGAATTTCCAGTCCATGATGACGGTGTCATCTCCAGCTTTGGGGTAAGTCTTGACGTGCTCCATGCGCGGGGGCTTCGAGCCGAGAGTGAACGTCTTCAGCTTCAAGCTGTCGAGGAAGGCGGGGGTAGCACCACTGAGAACCTGATCAACAGAGTTGATAATGGTCTGGGCCAGAACGGGTTGGTAAATAGGCCAGAACTTGAGCATGAAGGAGTTGATCCACTCGAGCGATTCGGTTTCAGTCTCAAGTTTCTTCAGGGAAAGCTCTCTGTTGATGTCGTCGCGGAAGTTGCGCCTGACTCGGCGAATAGAAGTCCGGTAGTAAGTTGAGCAGACGGCCATGAGAATGAAGACCCAGCCAAGGCCTCCGCCCAAGACGGCAACAAGCCATGACGAGATACAGGCAAAGGCAATGATGGCTGCATTGTGGTACCAGTCTCCGTAGAATTTATCGGGGATATTACTCTCGAGCCAGGTCGAATGATCCAGGAGACTTGCCGCATCATGGAGGTCGTCAGAGGGCCAGCCGAACCTAGGGGCCCAACCGGTCCTTGTGTACGGTTCTTCGTCCTGGCTTTGAGGATCGCCGGTCTTGATTGTGTTTCCGTCCTTGTCCTTGGGCAACTCGATTACGCCTTCTTTGGTCGGGGGTGGGAGATCGGTGACGGGAGCGCTCGAATCAGCTACATCGGTTACGACTGAAATGCCCTTGGTTCGCTGGGAATGGAAGCCTGCGGGAACGGCCTGGTAAGAGACGTGTCAGTCCAGGTCAATTCAATGGGTGAAGTGGGGACTTGGGTCGCGCAACTCACAGCTGCAGCTTGGCGGCGCTTCTCTTCAGGACTCGCATCCGGGTCAAAGGTGAAGGCGGTGATACCAGCCTTTTTGGACTCTTCGACAATCTTCTTCTGAGCATCGTCTGCGGAAACGTTTGATTCGGGATCCTGGGCAGCCTCTACGACACCCTGAACCTTGAGCTCGTTCTTCTCGACTGCGGAGGCCATCTTGTCGAGCTCTCGGGCGCCGCGCGGAGCAGCTTAGTGTGGGATGTCCGAGTCAATTAGCAAGGCGCTCAGCTTTGCGATGCTGTATCGACGCATGCAATGGTAGCTCTTGCAATGGACGAGGTGGACCGGTAGCCTCGTTGGATTTGGAGTTTGAGGGGGGAAGGAAGTGAACAAGTAACGGAATTGGAGAAGAGACGCGAGGGTCTCAGGGAGGGTCTCGGACTAAAAAGAGACGAGAAGAGGGAAGTAGATCGGCGACAGGGAAAAAAGGAGGGAGTGAATGGAGAGTGGCCGGACTGTGGCTGGTCGGCCAGTAGTTGGAATACTAAGATAGCTTAGTGAAGAAAAAAAATGTCGAGGGTGCGAAGCAGAACAAGATTCGGTAGAAGAAAGACAGAAGGCGGGAAGCCACGAAGCTAAGGTGGAAGGAGGGCAAAAGGTGGCAGTGGCAGTGATGGAGAATCAGAAAGGTGAAGGTTGGATTGGGAATTTGGCACAGATACGTCAGGTTCGCTAGCGGCTACGCCGTGGCATAGATTGGGTATCCGGTACAAAGTACTTGGTGGGTGGGCGTCACCTCAGGGTGGTGCAAAGTGTACAAGTGCCATGTACCGCAGTACAACTTTCTGCCAACTGGAACCTAATGCAAGAAACGAGTGCAAGTGCAAGTGCGACTGGGACATTACAAGATTACGACTGCAGCTTCAACCGGTTCATGGCACAGAAAAGCGAGACGAGCAGAGCAGGGGGTGGAGGGGTTTAACCGTCGGGCAAGGTGCTATGCTAAACCGTAAAGGTACCGCAAGTGCTTGGCTATGGAAGACCAAGATTTCAGTGACCACACACCCCTCCCTCATTCTTTTTCGGACATGTTTATTGATGAATTCTCGAGCAAGAAAGAAAAGGCAATTGTGCCCTCTTCGTGTCGGGTAAGGTAGTTTACGCTGAGCTGGCAGTCAGCTTTCCATGAGGGTTGATGGAGGTGATGCAGCTTGTATCCTCGGCAGCGGATAACGACGTAATACTAGCCATTACCTCAGCAGATTTCAGCTGGGGGAAACGCTGCATTGGGCCGTGACTGGTCGCTGAGGTCGGGCGGGGGAGCCGCCTACAGCACTTCAGGGCAGCCAGCACCCCCTGTCGAGCCAAACCAGCGGGATTGGCTACTGGAGCTTCAAGACAGGGGTTCTCAGCTTGCTTGGGACCTGGCGAGCTGGGAAAGTGCCAGGTTGGGTGTCTTCCCGGAAAGGTTGCACTTGGAATGGAAGCACCAGAGGGAAGCGGGGGGGCGGGAATTAGCTGCATGGCGCTGGCCCGCTGGGCAGGGCAGGCTTGGGGAAGAGCCGAACATCCAGCTTGGTCAGGGTCGCCGAGACCGAACCTCATTCCTTCAGTTCGTCCACCTCCATCACGAATACCTACTCTGCAGTACCTACGGATACAGAGTGCGGATAACACCTCTCTCACACACACACTTTGGTTTTGAGCTGCAAGGTGCGACACCATTCGTCCGTGCTTTCTCTTCTTGCCTACATTCCTCTGCTGGATCGTGTGCTGATACACTCAGGCGTCTATAAGGTGTTGCGTTATCCGCTGCTCGTCGTCTCAACTCCAACACCTCTGCGACAAGGGATTCAGCAAGTCTGTCCGATCAGACTCCCCACGCTCCTTGACCCGCACTGGCAGAAGCAGCTCATCGTCACCAGTCGACGCATTGCTAGTACGAAGTATATCCATCGTTCGGCGGTTCGATGCCGTTGAAGATTTGCGGATTTGCCCATCCAATCTCAGAGCTCGGTCGATCATCTTGAATCAATCGCAAACTCCAACATTCCTCACGACAACCCCTCCAGCATCAACATTCTCCTCCGCAAATACCTAGGTAGTCGTCGGGGCCGTCAGGGAAGTTTGTGGCTGGATGGGGGCCGACGTCCTGGCACACCAGAGGTCCGCCAACGCCCAACGGTCAAACCTGGGCACCCTGACCAACGAGCAAGCTGCCAAACAATGGTCGAATCACGTCCATCCCAGCTACCCGATCCTTGCCGTTAATCCTTCATCGATCGGACCATTGCGAACCGATGACAGGCTCATGACTTACAGGCCACAATCCCACCTACACTAAGCTCAGTGGTTCGCCCACCAGGAAATGCTGCCCGCGATCTGACGAATGCTCATTTCACCTCTCCATGGCCAGTGTCTCCTGCTCATACAACGATGCGAAACAAGCTATGGTACCGTTGATTTCCCAGTGATGCGAAACAAAGAAAAGGGAGTCGGGAAACGCTGGAATGCGAGCTGCACAAGCACAAGTCTTTGCCTCGACGACCCGCAAGGTCAGCCAAGTTAGCCATGGCGTACAGCCTCACCGTTGAGCGACACAGAGCTTGTTGCAACAAACCCCAGCATCCGTCCACTCATCGCGCCATGTTCCTGCCTAGGAAATTTAAGACTAGGACACTTCTCGCCGCCGTCTTGGCAGGTACCAGCCGCTAACCATACCTCGAAAGAACGCGTTTTCACTTCGAGGTATCCTTCATTTCCTGATTTGTGTACTCGAAGCTCTACGTTTGCCAACAATGCGAGAGTCAGGACAGCAGAAGCTGAGGAAAGCAGCCCCGTATTGATTGAGCTAACGCGCTCTGCTAGCATTTGCGATTAGTCTTGACTATTTTCGAGACAGGCACCGTTCCTGGCGATCTCTACCGGTAATCAAACACACCGGCATCGTTGGGTTAAGACTTACACCTCGCGGTCATCACCTGAATTCGGGCGCTATCAACAGCCCGTCTTGATCCGCGCGTACATGCGCGAAACGACTCATGCCACGAGCCAAGGCTTAAACCAGATTCTATGCAGACCCATTCACTCGCACGCATTGAGTTTCCGATACGGCAATGAAGAAAGATGCCGTTAGTCGTCGGCATGATTGAGATCTGAAGAGAACTATTGCTACAATGTCCACATAAATGCTACGCGAACCAACTCGGTACTTTGAGCTTGCTCAAGTAACCGATTATCAGGGGGAAGTTCTGGGCTAGCCCCGAGCCGATTTCCGGTCCCAATCCATGCTGTCTAACCCCAAGTCGTCGTCGCATGAAAGAATGAAAGGCCCGTTGCGAGCATAGTAGAAGAGAAAAGAGAAGTGAAGGGTTCGCCCGAACAATGAAGAGGGCCATCGGCCAAGTCAAATCGCGATCGGTGCATTCTGTCCCTGCAGCATGCAAAGCACACGGTGCCACAATGGGCCCGCACGCAGACGACACTCCAGACGCCCAGCCGAAGGAAACAAAAATCTCCGAACAGCGCTCGTCCTCATATGACAATCATACTTCGAATGCTCGGGTTCATAAGACTCCTGCGCTCAGGGCTTAGAAGTTGGATGACGCCTCCTTTTCGGAGTCGGCGGCGACGCTGACGCTATTCACAGTAATAGTCTTCCCTGACTCGCTCGTTACGCGAACGTCGACGGTCTCGGTTCCGAAACCGCTCGAGTTCTCGAAGAAGTTGTACGGCTGGCGTTTGGTCGCCTGCCAGGTGCTTCCGCCATCCGTGCTGACTTCAAGCTTCGCCACGGGCTCGTTGTGGTTCAGCACTTGCATGGAGAACCAGTTGGCAGAAGTGCCAGTCTTGTTGTGGAGCTTGATGGGCGAGGTGATGCCGCACTCAACAAACTCGTACGAAGTCGAAATGATGCCCTCGGAGACGGTTCCGAGCTGAGTGAAGGCGTCTTGGAAGATGTCGAGGTGGCCCTCGTCGCACTCGGGGCACTGGTCTACGACCATGGCCGTGATGCTGTTGCCGTTGGGTCCAGTGACCTTGACGCAAGCACCGCAGTGAGCGGCCGAATCCCAAGCCTGGCCTGAGAAGGCAGTGCCGTAGAGGCCGGAGGGGATGGTGTAGGTCGAGAAGGAGCATTTGCCGCCCGAGGTGTTACCGCCGTAGAAGGTCGACTTGCCCTGTTTGGTTCCACCGCTGCCGATCGGCGTCGAGGATGAAGCCGGGGTACTGGCACTGCTGCTGGTCGACGATGGGGCAGCCTGCTCCACCACGGTAGCCGAGGCCGATGCGGTTGTTGCGATGACCGATGGCATCTGGACGGGGGTCTCAACGGGCACGGAGCTTTCGACGGAGCTCTCGACGGGGGGTCCGACGGGAGTCGGTTGCACGACCGGTGCCGTCTGAATGGGGGTCATGGTCGGGCCTCCGTAGGTCGGGGTGACGTAGAAGGTGAGGACGGTTGTGCTACGCGGCTTGCAGGACTTGACGGGCTTGGCGAAGGCCATGTGAGCGGCCGAGGCGGCCAACAAGAGAATGGATTGCTTCATTGTGTCGAAGACGATGGACGTGATAACGATATGTTACGGTGAGGTTCCTAGCCAAGGAGGAACTACTGATGGGTTGCAGATTCGATTCGGACAGAGACAAGCTCGGTGTCTTTTCTTTGGATAATGACAGAACGACAGTTGGCAATATCAACAAGTGAAGGAATGACGGACCTCAAAGGGGTGCAGCAAGAGTTCCAGACCAGCGTGGATAGAGAGAGAAAGGGTCAAGACGAGCCTTCACACATAAACGGCAGGATATAAGAACCCTTTTGAGGGAACAACCCAAAGCAGGAGGGCAGGCAACCATAACACCGTTGTTATTTCGATTTAATCTTACTCAATCCTGCAGAGAGACAAGCGCCACCAACTGGACGAAAAAACAACGCGCCCGAGAGGGTTTCTCTTACTGTGCCGCCGCCGCCGCCGTCCATCCTACGGTCCTACCTTGCCAACCTGCCTCATGGGGGTTCATCCTCGCTCCTCGGGGCGGACGTGCGGACCAAACAATGCAGTCCAGAATGCAAAAAGAGGAACCACGCCTCCATGCTCCCGGCGCCGTGGTGCCGTGGGCAGGCATGCGCGCTGCTCCGTGGCGAGAGCGTGGCTCCGTGTTCATCTAAAATCGACGGGGGGTTGAAACCAGGATATCCAGCGGGGGTGGGAACCCGCGTTGAGGTCAGCCGGCGGCCCTTTCGCGCGCGAAACAATACTGTAAAAAACTTGTCAAGACGGAACGGACTGCGCCAAGAGCCCCAATTCGATGACAGTCTCGACTTTCCTTTCGTCGAGGGATGTGGACGATCAGAGGGGTTTGGTGACACCAATCTAGGGCAGAAAGCTGCAATCCCCGTTCCCCCCTTCCTCTTCTTTGTCAAGAATGGGCTTGAACTGACGTTAGACATGCTCAACTTCAAGCATACGGCGTGCCATAATACCGCTCATGATATAGCCTCCCTCCCCGAATCCCCCTCTACCCCAAACAGCCTACCCGGCCCCTTCTTTTCTTTTCCTTCCCGCATCTTGACAATAATCCGATGAACGTATAAGGGTTGATGGGGTCGTAGGTTATGGACAGCTGAGTTTCATGAAACATTGTATACCTTACGGATAGGATACATGGTATGTTTTTTGAAGCGTTGATCGGGTTCATCTAATAATTCTGTTTCGCTCCGCACTGTTCAGTGACGCAGTCATTTCTTGGGATTTTGGCTCCTGCACTGCCTACAGATTCAAAGTGCGCGAGACGGTTTAATACAAAGTACTAACGGATTGCGCGCATATAAATGCCCGTAAGCAGCGTCCACCCTTGGCGCGAGAAATTAAGACGCAGGTGAGTTGTTTTTTTCCTGCTCGGGACTTTTGACCGTTGAGGGATCCGTACACTACTAGAAAAACCGGGCAGCAGTCTGTCTGCCAGTCGGCGAGTTTAAGCAAATGGGAAGTCGGGGACTGAGCAGAAAATTTTGTCGACAACTGGAGAAAAGAAATAAGCTCATTATCGGATTTCCGGTGGGTGAATGCAGGTCGGCGACGTGTTATTGAATGACCTGGTTGGACCTTGTCGGCCCCCCAAACTTTCGATACGTTTCCTATCTCTCTCTTTCTCTCACCACAATTGGCCCCGGAAGCTTCATCTTCTTCGTTCTATCAAAATGCTACTTTTTTATGTCTTCAAAGAGTGAGTCTGAGGATCTAGAATACCTACACAGTAGTATTATCTACTTCTACCTCTTCCGTTCCCCCCCCCCTTCTTCCTCCTCGGCAAGGTCGGGCCAGTCGGCGAGGGTGGAGCCTATGGAGCATATGCCAGTGGGAAACCCCGGGGACTCGCAGCAGGGATCCTTTTTTGCGATCGTGCTGCCCTGGCATGTTCTAGATCCCTCTCCCCCTCCTCCCTTCTCCTCCCCCCCTTTTTCGAAACCCCTCGGGCCCTCGTCCTAGAGGTGGGATGTTCCCGCGTCTTGGCCAGCTATCCGGACAGATACTGAGTTGTCACTGGACAGTGGACACTACCCGTCCGTGCTTCTTAGACGCAACAGAAAAGTAGTGATTCGCTAGCACCCGTGCGTGAATGTTCAACGACGGGGGAACATCACCAGTGTATTTCCATGTTTTGGATCTTGGGGGGGGGGGGGGGAAACAGTCTCCCAAGTCCCGAGGGGCGGAAGGGGAGGAAGGGAGGGTCCGGTGAACGGATGATCACTCTGCTCAAAACGTGGTTGACGTTGAGCTAAGGATACCTACCTAGTAGGACCGGTCGAAACGTCGAAGCGAGTTTTGACACCAAAAAAAAATCCACAACTACGCTTCTACCGAGACAATGACGTCCGTCGCTTCCCCTTGGAGTCCGTACCTTGAGGTATGTAGGCATCCGTACACTTACCTGCTCGAAACCATGGGCTATTGGCAGTGTAGTGGCACAAGTGGGTTGCCTCGTAAGAAGTTGTCTTACAACATATAAACGACGCTTCGTGTTTCTTCCATCGTCTCCTTGCTCCCCACGAAAAACTCCAGCGCCTCTCTCTCTCTCAAAGTGAAACGACCGCAGTCAGGCACTTGTTTTTCAAGGGCAGACGGCCAAGTGGGTGCCACAGTAAGCTGCCGGTCAACACGGAGTTTCCTTCCTCTTATCATTACTCTATCGACACTTCTACGACCCTCATTACTACCTTTTCTCGTCACTATTGCCCTTAACGCTACTGTCCTCATAACCACTATCCTCATTGCTATCTTACCTAGATATCCCAATGAGATTACGTGGAGATCTACATAGAGAAGTAGCTCCAAAGGGTAGTAATAGTAATAAGAGAGAAAACAATAAAGGTAATACCAGAGGGTATAGTGGAGTGTTGGTAGTGGTAAAAACACTCAGATTTATGAGACAGGGGAGAAGAGCGAGACTTGAATGTGCATAGGCGGGCCAAATCGCCACAGGTAGGCATGCGTCCCATTGTTAGAAGCAAACCTAACATATCTATCTAATTTGAGTGGGTGGTATCTCCATCGAGGGGAGTGAGAGAGTGACTCTGTGCAACGACACGCCGCCTCCCCTCCCTCCATCCGTTCGCTTCAGAAGTATTTACTAGCAAAAGTATTATACCCTGGCACACTGGCTGACATGTATATGGAAAAAACAACGAGGCACTGTGAGCCATCAAGTCCACAAAAGCAAAAGCAAATACAGCCCCGACCATTCTAAATACTCACATCCGCTGACGACGACCGCTACCCAGCATCAACTCATATCATCCGTTTCGATAGCGTTGTCGCGGCGGGTACTGGTGAGATGGGATGCTGGTCGCTAAAAAAAAAACGAAAGAAAGCAAGCATCGTTAAAATGAAAGACTTGGTTAAACTGAGCGGCTCCTATGCAAACCGAAACGCCGAAAGTTCGAAGCATGCGAGAGGAGAAGTAACAAACCGACAATACGAGGTATCAATAGCCAAAACTATCATGCTGATGGACTGGGCACCGTCCAGGATGGTTGATGAACCAAGCTGAGATACAGGATCGGTGGAAACGGCAGAGGCACTCCAGTCGCGCCATGGGAACGCCCACCTCGAATTCCTCGAGGCAAATGGTGCACTCGGCCGAGTCGACACAGTCCTTTTCTGTGGCGACATAAGGGAACATACCAGTCCGGCGAACCGCCAAGGGAGGTGGCGTTCCGACTGGAGGGGTCTCTCCTGTCGGTGTACCGCCGTAAGCGCTGTGTGAAGTGATGCAGGTGTTGATGTGCGTCTCTCGCAGCTGCTCAAAATTGGGGAGGGTGCGAGAGGGCAGCTCGCGATGGCAGACCGGGCACTCGTCTTCCTCAGCTATTTGGGGCGGCGGCGGCGGCAATGCACGGTTGTAGTGAGACGATGAGGATGACGATGGACCAACGTCCAGCATAGATCGATAGCGGGATGAGCCTGGGTAGCCGGATGAGGAGGACGGGTAGTACGTCGGCGGAGTCCCTGCCATGATCCGACTTCCAGTGGACTGGTAGTGTCCGCGAGAGCTCGAGGGACCGCCGGAGCCGGAATGCTGCATAAGTTAGCATGCGTATTAATGGCAAGTGGGCCCAGGTTCACTCTTACCGTAATGCTTCTAGACCTTGCATAGGTCTCCGGGGAGGGGCTCGATGTGAAGTAGCCGGAAAAGCGCGAGGGCGGGGGCGCGTTGCTGGACATTGTGCTAATGCTGCTTTGCGATCTATAATGCGATCCTCGTGGAGACAGTTGGGAAGGCGAGCCAGGTGGCTGCTGCGGCGGTGTGGTGTTTGGGTCTGGGACGCATGGGTTGCATAAACGGACGCGCTCTCCTCCACCAAGGCTGCTGAAATCTGCATATCCTCCCTCACCACTGATGAGGGAAGATGGGTATCTCTGGGCCGCCAGTCGCGGTTGTCCTGGCGCTTGAACAATGTACTGGTAGGGAATAGTGATCCTATGAGGCGAGCATGCGTTACAAACGACTCTTCCGCATTTCCTGGAACTTATTAGCAACTATGTCACACGATCCCCTCGACTTCTGCGTACCTGCAGTGATGTTTCCTAACAAATATGCTAAATTGTACGTTGCAAATCGGACAAAGAACGACCTCTGCGTCTGGTTGCCACCGCGGTACGACGAACTCGGGAGGGCCGCTTCTCTCTTCAGACACTCGTTGGCCGCGCAAAGGAGGCTGAACAGCACTCGAGGAACTTGCCCGTCTAGGTGGTGGCGGAGGCGGCGTATCGTGAGATCGACTGGATAGTAGAGCTGGACGCAGAGGTAAGTCGTGTGACGATGCGTTTGCCGCTTGCGATGTGACCAAGCTCGAAGATCTTTCCGGTGGGACAAACTCTCCTGTTGGCGTTGCAGGTGTTGCAGTCGGGGGGAGAGGTTGAGAAGTCTCTGAAAGTCGAGAACTCAAAGGGGTTGGTGGTGCCGGTGCGGCTTCCTCGGGATCCTGAGACTCATCAGGCCCTTCAGTATCCCGTGCTGAGGTTGCCTGTGCTGAATCTACTGGTTCTGTCTGTCGCCCCGTATTCGTCTCCTCGGGCCCGGGCGCAAAGCTTGGTGCTGGGACCGGCTCTGGAGTATCTTCAGGCACGGGAGAATCGACAGTGTGTAGCCTCGCGCTTGATGAACTTTCGGCCCTATCGTCGCCCGTCTGATGCTGCACTGCGGGCTCCTCCTCAGCCTCACTGTCGTTGGCCTCGTCGTCAGAGAGATGCCTCTCGACTACATGCGTAGGGCAGTCGAAGAAGCGGGAACATTCCATATCATGGTATCGAGACGTCCGCCAGCGACATTCTCCCTGTTCGGAAGAGTCGTCTGAAGCATCACTCCCGATGTGGGAGCTGCCCGATATCGATTCTCCTGCATCGTCGAGCAGGCGGTGATGATCATCGAGGGAAGCTGGAGCAGCTCCACCATCTGGGCTTGCCATCTTAGATCGTTTGCATCGTCTCCGGCGACTCTATCGGTATGTACGGTCGCGGTGGTGGTTCTTTTGTCTCGAGATAAAGCTCGTCGTTAAAGGTTCCGCATCAATCAGTCGATGTCGCGAGCGAGTCGTGGACGAACGACAGTCAGGCTGTTGGCCAGTGATAAGTCAGCATGACGAAACAAGAGTCAATATCCGAGATGGTGGGGTCTAATGTTACCTGAACTCAGTTAACCAACGGCGGTCGGGTGCATTTGCGCCTCGGTTTCTGTCGACGGCGAGGCGATTAATATGCAGAATATGCAGGAAACTCCCAGGTGATGGATGGAACAGGAATATTTGGAGGGGCAAGTCGAGGCACACGAGCATGAGCACATGCACCTCTTGGAGCCACCCTAGTAGGGAGGTCCACGGTTGGATGCTTATCGCGGCCTAGACCTTTTTCCTCGTCTTATCGCGCGATTGGCGCCAGCTATTAGATGTGGCGCGGGGAACGACCCATTCTTGCCATTCCAGGCGAACAGGGATCGCCACGGTGGCTGGGGTCTCCCAGCTTAGCTAATTTCACTGCAGCTTCACTTTCTTTGCCAACTTCATCAACATCGAATACAATTTGTTGCATCTTCAGTAGCACATTATTTCAGACACTTTTTTATGCAATCTCAATATTGAATTGGGAAACCACAATACCGTCGTCATCATCGCCCTTACCTCAAAACTTTTGAGACAGACGCGCGTATTTTCAACGAGCATCCTCAAGCTTATGCGCGTGCTTGCAGGAACCGTTGATAGCGCAAGGCTAGTGATATAAAGCTTATCTCTCTAACCCCGGGTCTAAGTCGATTGTCATATTGTACCTTTCACAAGTACTCGATTGAGTGCGAATATTTCGGTTGCAAACGAAGCAGCGACAATACCACTTCATGGCGTTGAGCCTTAACTAATCGACAGAAGTCTGTCCCAATAGTGTTGTTGATATCGATGCCTTACTCTACCTTACTCTATAGGAAACGACATCCATACGATAGTCCAAGAACGTTCAGAATAGCCGCTTCAATATGTCTTGGTCTGGGACCCATCGCCGAACCTCCATTGGTATCGATCTGCTAATGAGCGACCGAATGACGAAGGAGAGGCGACGGAGTATTTGAGGTCTCATTGAAGCTCCGTGGTTGCCTACCTGAGGTAAGTAGGCAGCAACGTCCATTTCGAGGCGCAAATTTTGCTAGGACCAGAGGCTGACAGAGTAGGGGGTTATAGGTCACCGATTCGAAGGAAGCAGCACTTCCCGGTGCGGTACGAATCGGCCGGGGCCACGTAGCCTGGTGGTTAAACTGGTGATGAAGAAACTGGGACGCTGGTTTTTCGTACGTATAGGGTTCGAATCCTATACCGAGCTTTTTTGTTTATTTTCTTTGCGTATTCCCTAGGCTGGATGGTATATATATAGGTCACGAGTTTAAGGGAATGAGCAATCCTCGGGGGTCAAATACGTATCCCCGGGGCCACGTAGCTGAGTGGTTAAACATGCATGAAAACCAGTGGAGTTTTTGTAGGTACAGGATTCGTGCAATGCGTTCGAATCCTGTTCTGTACTGAGCTTTTTTGTCTTTTTTGTATTGACTTGCCTATGCTAAATTGGGCGTACCCTATTTATCACTTTGATGATAAACTTTCTCCTGGTTCTACGGGAAGTTTCCAAATTGATTGGGTTTTCATTTGTACAAGCAAGCACAGCGAAGACGCGAAGTCAACATTCGTAAGCATCGAGGTAACAAAGATGTGTTCCCTTAACCTATACCGTTGCTAGGGATGTTTAGCACGTAGCCACAAGTGTAGCACATTGAAATGAAAATCGTTGAAGCAGTCAGTACAAATCCCACATCCGTCTGACTACCTTGCCTAGATATGAAGGTGGAAGTTCTACAACTTGTCTAAAAGGGCAGAATCAGCATACCCAAGAGCAGGCCGAATGCAGTCAATTTCCAAGAGACAAGCATACATATATGCGTCTTGTCGCATGTTCTTGCGACCTAGCTCACGAATCTCAATCAGTTTGACTTCTCTACAGAATGTGCTGTGGAGAAATACCAGTAAGCTTGAAAGAAAAATCTCATAGGCTCCAAGCATGCTACCAGTCAGCGAACAGATGGAGGCACCTGCAGGCAAGCAATACGCTATCCTGATGCTGCTTATGGTTACACACAGGATTCCACCATTTCAACATCTCTTGGTAGTCAAAGGTTGAGAATGGATCCTGCCAATCAATAGTATTATCCAGGAGTAGGAGCAAGAAAATGGTATCGTTTCTAGGAGTCTTATCAATAATGCATGTCATGACCTGTCTACACCCATCTTCGTCTAGGGCTCTTCTAGCCGCTCGTGGATCTCCTCGTCATTACTTCATAACTGCACCTTCATACCCCAGAAAGCGTCCAACTCGCGCATAATGTACTCCGTCTTGGTCATCACAAAGTCGTGACCCCCAGGAAGGACCTTCCACATCACATTCTCCTCGCCACCCAACAACGGCAATCCATCCTTGGCATAGTGACCAACATCAATAACCTCGTCCGTCTTCCCGATAAAGACCGCCGTGGTCCCCTTCTTCCTCTGACCCAGGACCCGCCACGTCTCGTGCTGCCCCGTAAGCGGAGCCCACCGCACACACGACATAAAGGCCTTTACGAACCCCTCGTGGTGCGCAACCATCCAGGGAACGTATTCGCGCACTTTCCGCTCGACCTTCTGATCCTCTCCGCTGCCGTGCGGCCCAGACACCTCGGCGGCCGCAACGTCAACAACCTTCTCGACCGGATCCTCGTCCTCCTCGACAGCATTAGACCGCTTACTCGCCAACGGCTTCTGCAACCTCTTCCTCGTGACAGCAGCGAGGATTCTCTCAGGCACAAGACCAGACTGGAACGTAATCTGCGCCAACACGCCAAAGTTCTCGGCGCGGATGAGGCCCGCGGGCGCGAGCAGAACGAGGCTCTCCACCACGTGCGGGAACGCCGCTGCAAAAGAAGCTGCGACGGCGCCGCCGAGGGAGTAGCCCACGACGCGGACGGCGTCGGTGCCGGACCAGGCGAGCGGGGAGGAGGCGAGGGCGAGCAGGACCTGGGTGGTGTACAGGCGGGTGTCGTGCGGGAGGTCGCCGACGCCGTCGGAGAAGCCGCGGCCAAAGAGGTCGAAGAGCATAACGCGGCAGCCGCGGGCGGCGAGGGCGTGGGCGATGGGGCCGAGGGTCATGCAGGAGGTGCTGATGCCGTGGATGAGAACTACCTTGGGCCCGGTGGTTGAGCCCCATTCGTAGACGCGGATCGTGCCGTACTGGAGAAGGGTGTTAGTCGTTTCAGTCGGGACTAGAGACAGCATCCCCCTATGAGAGAGAGAGAGAGAGAGAGAGAGAGAGAGAGAGAGAGAGATGGGCGCCAAGGGGATCTCTTACAGGCGTGTCCACGTCCCGGGCGCCAGGAAAGTAGTCTGGATGGTAAGGAAGCTTCTTGACCTCATCGCTTGTGAGTGTGAGGATCTTGGTCTTGAGGGGGTTAGGGATTGCGGTGCCCCAGTTTGGGTAGAGACCGAGTCGCGCAAGGGACAGGAAGGAGAGCGTCGCGACGACGGTTGTGGCCACGATCGCCGCCGTCTTTGGCTCGATGGAGGCGCTGAATAAGGATTCCATCTTGCGAGTAAGTGGGTGGTGCGGGAGCGACAACTCCTAGAGCCTGGGCTTTCGTGATCCGTTGATGATGTATATGCCGGATACCACGGATCGCAAAACGAGCGGTGGATCCTAGTGCGCGCGGAACTCTGGGCAGATTCCTAGCCAGAGAGCTCTAGATTTGTTTTCGCCGCCGTCCTTCTGAGTATTCATTCACAAAATAGGAACGGTTGTGCGAGCAACGAAAGCTTCAACGGAGCGCGTCGTTTAGGAATCTCGAAAAGTAAAGGATGACGTTGGTGAGGCTGAGCCGAGACTTGTCGTCGGTGTTCGGTGCCCCGGTTGTACGGCGGGAGTCGCGCGTTGGTGGAAAGATCGGCGTCATTTTTTTTTCTTTTCCTTTCGCGAATCAACAAACTACCTAGATCGGGCCCGGGGAGGGTCCCCTGGCACTCTGGCCACGAGGGCTCCGCAGCGGCCGGATCCTTATCGCTGGCCCCACGTGGTCCTGTCAAAAGTGGAGACGACGTTCCCGGCTGGCAGGTAACGGTCGGCACGGGATCTGTTCGGGAGAGGTAGAGAGAGAGGGCCGTCCGACTTGGCCGCGTACGTATTAGAACGCCTCTGTGGTCACACTCGAGTTCATGAGCTTTGAGCTTCATCTATGGTGATGGGATCCGACATGATCTAAGGTCTATGAGTCTTTTAAGTTAGCACCTGTCGTCAAGTGCAGGACTGCCAAAGCCCGTTTTCGGCAGCATTGGAGGCGGCTCGGCTCGGGATGTGTATAAACTAGATATCCCGACGATACGATGGGTAATAAAGTCTGCACGCAACCCATGGTACTTATAGTACGATGTATAAGTTCTAAAGCCCATCCACTTTTTGGCTCGAAATTCAATGTGAGTTACATTCCGCAGCGTTGACAGTCTTTCTCGTCACATCAACCTCCTATACTATTTTTTATGTTGAATACCAGCATACGACCAAATTACCGCTAGTGATCGAATGAATTAGGTAGCCTTCCCTTCCTCACATAAGTGATTTCTTTCTCTCGAGAACGTGTCAACTTCTCCAGGTCTACAAGTTTGGAAACCCAGCTTCGTCAACATCAACTCAAAAGAAAGTTGCAATCTTGATGTTACGCATCAAGTCTCCAAGGCAAGGGTAGTTGCTCAAAACCGAACCCGAACGTCGGGTCGTGTCGCGTTACGTAGAGTATCATCAAGTCGCAAGCCAAGCAGCCCCCCTCCCAGCCCTCCCATCAGCAAGGGGTTATCATATTCTACGCATATCACTTGAGGTACTTTCACTCGACGTAAATGCTCCGAAACGACTATACCATTCATCCCCCCCTCCCCCTTTGGCGAATGCACATCCACCGCCAAAAAAAAAAAAAAAAAAAAAAAAAAAAAAAAAAAAAAACCACCCATCGAACTTGCGGTAGTATTCATCCGAAGCACGCATACGTGGGTAACTGCTCACTACCTGCTATGTTTTAAGGTGAGAAATTCTTCAGCCGATACTCCGTACTACTAGTGTATCTACTCCACCCACACACGCTCTCTACTAACAAACAGCCTTGTCTCAAGAAATGAACGGATCCACGGGCGCAGTTACGACTGACAAGTTTTTTTTTTTTTTACCTACCTTACGCACAAGCCCCATTCATCATCAGCATCAGCATCAGGACATTTCGGTATCCCGCAATCGCAAACACGATTCCATTCTAGAACCGGTAAGAAACCCCCCCTCAATCCCTCTATGCTCGTCCCTGTCGTTCGGCCAGGGGGTGGGATGAAAAGTGTGAGCCTTGAGCTTTGACCTTTTTTTTTTCCTTTCTCCCTCTCCAGAATTTCAGGTACGGAGTACGTGCGGATATTCCAACGTACGTGCGCAGTATCCGTACCTCATGCATCTTTGGTTACTTACGGATACTGCGTGCAAGATCATCACCCCCCCCCCCCCCCCATGACGTTCGGGTCGGGTATCGAACCAAGCAAGACGCAACAAAAATGGGGTGTTTCCTCCTGTGTGCTATGATCTCATGGTTCATAACACGCAAGCCCCAACCATGGTTACTCTTTCTTTACCTTGGGGGGCCTGGGCAGACAGAACTTCGGTTGGAAATTCCCTTCTTCAACGAATCCAGGAACCTAAACATGGGAAGGGGAATAGCAACGGGCCAACGGGCCAATGGGCCAATGAATGCATGAACTTCCGAATTCGGTTTCGCATTCTCTCATGGGAATGCCTGCCAAGCTCGGGTTACGAAAAAGATGGCATATGCGAAGGTACACGTCAACTTTTGCCGGGAAACCCCAATTGCAACACAAAAAGAAAAAAGGTGGCCAGTCACCACCACACTGACGACTCAAGAAGCGCACATCAGCCGCGCACTCCTCGCTACAATTCCGCGCTTCAATGTACTCTGATGAATCTGAGCCGATGGACGCCGGGATACCCCCCAAACGGAGGTGTCCGACTCGTTGATGCTTGACGCAGCCACGGCTGCAAATCCGTGGCTCAACTTGCTGGCCTTGAACACTCAATACGGCATCATCTTTCTGCAAGACTGTGAATTGCAGCATTGAACCATGCTGAACTTCACATGGTGGGGCTAGTCCGATAGAAGTTTCAAGGCCACCATGTCGGAAGGGGGACGTCCGTCTGTTCTATGCGATTGGTACCTTTGTTAGTCGTCCAAAGAGGAGCTCCGAATGGTGAGCTTAATTGCTCTTCCGGATAGCAACCGAGTACACCGATGACGAGAGAGAAGAGACGATATGTAATTCAGCTAGCTCAAGGCTAGACATATTGGTATTGTAGGCAATATAGATTGATGCGATTCCAGAAGCTGGCTTTGAGCACAGTACTCCTTTTGGAAGAAGCCGCAAACAGGTACTTTTTTGATACATGGGTATACAACCAACCGCCGTTTACCTCTAGACGCCCTTCGTGAAGTAAAAAAAAAAAAAAACAAAAACAAAAAAAGAAAAAGAAAAAAAAGGGGGGGGGGGGGGGGTTGGCAAAATATGCTCGTGATAAATAGCAACAACAAATCATCATGACATGCCGACTGCCCAGGCAGCATGGCCTAGCTGCTTGATCAGCAGGCACAGATTCTCGACAATGGGCGGGTGAAGATCTGCCGATTCCCGGAAGTTGGCCCGGAGCACTTCCTGGGCCACTTCCATGCACGCCTTGGGATCGTCGAGCGACGCCTCGGTGGCGCCGGCCCTGCTCATGGGTCCCAAAATCACCGGTCGCCCTTGGTTGAAGCCAATAAATCGGTGCACCAGGTTCGACTCGGTGCCGTCCAGGACCACCTTCTCCTGCTCGTACCCCTGCACCGGCGTCTTCCCGGTTCCGCTCGTCTTGGCGACCACCCCGTAGGTCCAACACGCCAGAGCCGCATGGTGGACGGCAATGGCGTAAAAGTCTTTGAGATGACCCTGGGGGAACATCTTGGCCTGACGCAGGATCTGGCCCGCGTGCCAGAGTGACTGGCGCGCCTCGGCGCTCTGCGACCACTCGCACAGGTCACCGAATACCCGACGCGCCTGGTCCTCGCCTTCCTTGCCAGAGAAGAGCTGTAAATCGTTGAGAGAGAGGTGTAGGTTCATCATGAGGAGATGGAGCACCAGACTCTCCTGCGTCGACAGCATCTCGTGCCAGTCGGATGTGACCAGCAGGAAGCCCTGCAGGTCTTTGCACAGCTCCGCATGCCTGGAGCGCAGTACCTCCTCAGACTTCCCTCCAGAGTTGTTCAGCCAAGTCCGGGTGCGCAAGACGGAACACAGCTGGAGATACTCGAGAATGAGCGCCCAGTAGCCATGCAGGTATATCGAGATTGCAAATTGCAGATCCAGTCGCTGGCGGTTCGTCGCCAACAGACTAATATCTCGGAGGAGATCGCCGATGGAAGGTGGTCGTTTGCTCTGTCCGTTTGTTCGCTCGAGATAGTGCATTTTCCATTCGGCCGCTGTCTTCGCAAACCACAGCTCCTTTGCTTCAGGGAGGGGCAGGGTGAGTTCCGAGTACGACATGGAGGGGTTGGTGAATGTTGTCATGGAGGTCTGAGCGTCTCGCACGAAGCAGTGGAAAAGTAGTCTAAATGCGTTAGCACAAGGATATCCCGGACCTTGGGTCTATAAGCTTACCTCTTCCACGACTCACGCTCGCACCAGGCCCTCCATTTTTTCTCCAAAACATCGCCTTCGTCCGACACATTGACCTCTACCATGGGGTACGATGCTCGCTGGAATTTGCCGCGATATCTCATCATCTATGCAAAGCATTAGCGACCAGGCTGTGGGAGACCGAAGCTCGAAATAGCTACTTGCCGTAGTAGGAATCATGAGATGACATTCGGCGATCTCCATCTTGCGTCGGTTGCCGCTCCAAAGACCAATGTCTTGGCCCAGGATCAGAGTCTGCACAAGGCCGAGATTTTTGATCGAAGTGTTGGCATCCTCGAACCTTGCCGGGATGGTAACTCGGACCGCTTCCTGGAGAGCAAACCCAAACTTGCGCAAGGTTTGCACCGGAGTTAGGGTAGCCCCAGCTGAAGCTGCCACAGCTAGCCATTCTGGCCACTGGGCGTTCATGGAGAACGAGCCGTGGTGAATCCATTGTGACGTCTGGCAGAAATGTTGCGCGAGGAAGATGTGGATAAGGCTGTCCATGACCTCGAGGGATGGAAACGAGGATGCGACTCGGCTCATGATGTTGTCGTTTTTGCAGGTCGACAGCACGATCGCCAAGATTTGATCCCGGCCTGACTGGTCCAGCTTGTCCCTGACGATCCTCGCGTGCTTCTTCCTGCTTTCGTTAAAGACAGCGCTGCTTGTGTCGTCGGATGGTACGGAGAAGTTTGGGTGCTCTAAGTAGCCTGAGTCGAGCTTGTTGGGTGCCCATTGCCATGGCGACTCGGTCCAGACCTTGACGAGTGTTTGGCGCATTTGAACCAAATCGATGGAGTCGTCGGTCCGAGGCGTGAGGCTTTGGTTGGATCCGGTGTTTCCCATGCCGTCCATGTTCCAATGATCCAGGAGGCCAAAGTCCACTTCGTTCAGTTCGAGATTCGAGTTGTCGCAAAAGTCCAGGACAGCTAGACCCTGCGCTTCCGCCATGCGTGATGCATCCATCTCTCCTGTGTAGATAACATTTTGGAGGAAATCTGAGAATGGCAAAGTCATGTCCTGCTGGTTGCCGATTTCGTAGTTGACAGGCATACCGGACGCGTTGACTTGTCCCATGGTATTTTCTGTTGTTGGTATGCGGCCTGATTCCGACTTGATGGTATGAGCAGGTCCCAGCTGGCCACCATCGTCTCTGGGTGGTAGCATGGCATGCTGAGGACCCTGTTGGTATGCCGTTGAAGGGCTGCTATCATAGGCAGACTGTGAAGGAGACGTGGCAAGAGATCCGGGCGTTGATGTTGTCTGGTGCGGATTCCCCGAGAGGTGAAGCAAGTGCATGGTCGCAGCTGAGCCGGCTTCGGTGGAGGAGTACTCGCAGTTCAGGTTGCGATTTCGACAACGCGTGCATGGCTTCTGCTCCTCACACTTGACACGAGCCGTGGCACAAGGTCTGCAGGCGTGAGAGACACGGCCGGCACCGGGCGAGGTATCGGTGCGACGTCTCTTTTTGTTGGGGTCATTGTCGTTCTCGTGATTGGTGACATGCCGCTTGAGGAGATCTTGGCGCGCAAAGGCTTTGCCGCATATCTGACACGCGAATCGCTTCCCAAGAGTGTGCGTCTGGATGTGACGCGCGAGATGCTCAGGTCGAGAATACCGGCGTTGGCAGTGAGCACACTGGTACAGACTGGCGGTAGCGGCGTGGCTCTGGGTGCCGCCCGGGGTAGATGTGGGATAGGGAGATTGAGCTGTTGGTATAGGTGAAGGGGAGACGGATTGTGAGGGACCATTGGGGTTGTATGAAGGTGCCGAGACAACTATTGTGGCATTCGGAGAAGGACCGGAGGCGAGAGGGTTGGCGTTACTGTTGGAAGCAGTAACCCGCTGGTCATCGGTACCAACGCCCCGGGTTGGCATCATGTTGTGGTGACCACCGTCCATCATGATGTTGTGTTAGTGACGTCGGGGCGGGTCCGGCAATCGGCCGCGAAAAGGCCAACGGCGCCGGACGGAGCGGTGGTAAAACCGTAAGCGGTCGGAAGAAGATGGTTGGCTGCTAACGGCAGCGTGCGACGGCTGTGTCGGCAAGCAGGACGGGAGGTAGGGGGAACAAAGAATGTTGTGAAGGCAAAAAAGTTTTGCAAACCTGGCCTCAGGAAGGATAGATCCGATGTGTGAGGTTGTCGGGAGAGGGAGATGAAAAAGGAAATATGAGCCAAGGGCGGCGGACCAGGTGCAGAAGCTTAGTAGGTAGGTAGTAGGTTAGGTTAAGAGCTTGGTGCGGTGCGGTGCGGTGCGGTGCGGTGCGGTGCTGTGCGGTGCTGTGTGTGGCCGGTGGGTGCAAGCCAAATAATAACTGAGTTAGAGCGAAAGCGTGCGGCTGCAGCCAAGACCACAAAACTGGGGGGCAAGAACTTGTCTCGTCTTTTCTTGGGAACGTTGAGGGCTTTTAGCTCAAACTTGACTTGTCTTGTTGCCGAGAGTCTTGAATTGACTTGAGGTAAGTTGAGACTTGAATTGAGCTCGGGGAGAAGCCGTAGTAGTAGTAGTAGAACAAGTACAAGTAGGTGGTAGTTAATCGTAGCCAAGCCAAGGCCAAGTCAAAGTAAAGTAAAAGCAAGGTCAGGTAAGGTAGACACAGGTGTATAGATAGCGGTAAATGTACTTCCATGTGAAGTAATGGAGACAAGGTTGGGTTGGCTCTTGGGCAAGGGGAAAGAATAGCTTGGTGGACGGTGAAGGACTGTGGACATCCTTGGTCCATGAAGGCTCACTCAGGACGCAGGTAGGCTGTGGGC